TTCAAATACTACCAAAGGAAAAAAGAAGTAAAGAAAAGACTTTATATTTTATTGGCTCTCTTTCTCTCTCTCTCTCTCTCTTTATATATATATATATATATATTAATATTTAACTAAATAACATATAAGCAATTTCTTTTCTATGCCATATAATAGAAAGAGTTCTTGAAAAAGTCCCAAAATTATTAAAAAAAAGAAAAAAGAAAAACTGGAAAAATTTCCAAGAAAAGAAAAAAAATTTCATTTTACTAATAATAATAATGATATGTTTTCAGTTTTTTGTAGGAAAATGAAAAGTTTCTTCATTCGAAAAAAAAAAAAGATAAACATTTACTTTTCTTTTTTTTCTTTTTGTCACATACAAAATGGTGAGCAGCATTATACTTTCAAACATCAAAGCTGTATGACAACAAAAACTACGACATATTAAAAGGCACATTTAAAAATGGGGGAAAAAAAAAGAGAAGAAATAAGATGGTAACAAAAAATAGAATAAAGTTGAAGGGAAAAAAAATTAAATTAAACTTCATTGCTTTTATTAAATCAATTTTTCCAACCTTTTTATTTTAAATTCATTTTCAGAAAAAAAAAGAAAATTGTATAATATGATAAATTTTATCATATTTCTTGTAAAATCTCTTACAGTATCATTAATGTATGAATAAATGAAAAAAAAAAATTATGCTAAATTTAAATGCAATCTTAATTAATCTTTTGTTTTTTCATTCATTAATTTGAAAGAAAAGATCCAAGTTTTTTTTTTTTGAAAACAATTTTTTAACATGATACTTTCATTTTGTTCGATAAATATCTTATAAAATTAATAACATTCATGTATTGAAATAAGAAATGAAGTTGAATGCACCTCAAAATATACAGTGAGGATAGTTTTGGGCTAGTAATTAACATTTAATAATTCATATTAAAAAGTGATAAATAAAAAAAATGATAAGAAAATCATTGATCAAGTTCACGCTTCACCTCCACTTTTCTGCGAATTTGTTCAGCAGACATTTGTAGTACTGAGGTGAGATCGCATACAAATCGATACACGTATCGTTTACCGGGTGTTTTATGAATAATATTTTTATCATAATAATACCTTAGACCACGTGAAAGTTTTTCGTAATTCATCTATAAAAATCAAAACTTATTAATACCTTCTATGAATATTATTAATTTAAATTAATTAATGATGTAATTTTTTGCTACATTTCTTCCTTTTTCCCTCTTCCTCCTCATTATACCTATTTCATTTTAAATTTGAAAAGAGAAAGAGAGAAAAAGAAAAAAAAAACAAGCTATTGTTTAAATAACCTTTGGTTTATTTTTACGAATTCCCCATTTACGTGCGACTTCATCAGGATCATTTAATTTAAATTCCCATCCATCACCCGTCCAAGCAATGCAAGAATTTGTAGATTCAGTCATCAGAAGTTCCAACAAAAATTGCCAAAGTTGGATGGGACCTGAATGATATAATTTGCATTTGATAAATATTTATACGTAAAACATACATCCGGAATTAGCAATATTCATATATGAATGATAAAATAAAATGAAGTTTGTATTTATTTATTCTTTGAATTAAACATTTTAAACATGCAAACGTGCAAACGTGTAAACGTGTAAACGTGTTCATTTACATCAATTTTTCGTTAATTGAAAAAATATAACGTTATCATCTCTATTTATCATAATATGAAGAAATTGAATGGTAGCGTCATAAAAGCAAAAAGAAGAAAGATATTTATCATAGGACAAAACTATTATCACATGTATTATCATGAACTATTTTGATTGATGAAAATAATCTCATATAAAATAATTTCTATCCACAATTATCAAAGTTGCAATAACCAAACTAATTAAATTTTTGTAACTTCAATAACTTCCAACATTCACATCTGAAGAAGTCCAAAAGATTTTTTGGAAAAAAAAAAAAAACGAAAAAGTTAACAATTTTAAAAAATACCAGTAAGACCCGGTAATGTCAACGATGATGGTTGACCATATTCGACATCCGTTTCGGAATTTGGTGATGATGACATGGATTCACTTGGTACCGAATGCTGTACATAAGTTTGCATTGGATATTGTCCATACGGTGAGCATCTTTCCGAATTCCATGGTTCATTCTGTTGTTGTTGTTGTTGTTGTTGTTGTTGTTGTTGTCGTTGTTGTTGTTGTTGTTGTTGTTGTTGTTGTTGCTGTTGTTGTTGATGATGGTGATGATGATGATGATGATGATGGTGATGATGAGTAAATTGTGAAATTAATGAACGACTGCTACATAAACAATTGATATTAGGTGGAATCTGTCGTGATACCGTACATGCAGCATTCATTCCAATCATTGAATCTTTATCATCTGAAACAAGGCAAAAATGCGTATATAAACATTTTTTTTTTCTTTAATTAATTAATTCTAATTAAAGTTGTTTCATTTTTTGGCTATTACTTAGTGATAATTATTACAAATGAAACAATTTCATTTTATGAACGAAAAATAAAAAGAAAAAAAAAAGGAAAGGAATTGTTGATTACATACTGATATCAAGGGTTGCTGTATGATCTGATAAATTTAATTGGCATGTATCATAAAATTCCGTATTAATAGTGCTCACTGATGGCATATCAACGAAATCATTTACCCTGTCTGTTACAGTTGAATCGAAATCTGTAATTTTGTTAATTAATCTTTTAAAATTTAGAATTTCATTGCATGAATAAATTTAAAAGTTAGTGTGAGATGAAATTTACATACTTTAGCAATTATTTTTCGAATTTCATCAAATAATAACTTGAAATGTTTCCGTATGACATATTTAATACTGTTGAAAAATGTTGAAAAAAATGTTCAATCATCAAAAATGTCTAATTTTTATCCATTAAAAATGCTTTAAATCGATAATCACTGGAATGCTTCATTTTTTTTCCCTTTTTTTTTGATCTTTTAATAGAGTTATTGATAATTCCAAGCTAATATATACATACATTTAAATCGTCCCATTTTTTAAAAAAATAAGTACCATTTTATAGTTCAATCCTGTTCAGGAACAGCAATAATTGCTAGCCCCATAACAATTAGATTGTATTCAAATGATTAAAGTTAGCAACCGTAATAAGGAGCAAAAGATAATTATTATTGAAAATAGCTTTACCTGATAATTTACTATGATTCAGATATTTGTTTCTATTTTATTAATAAGTAATCTAGTTTTAATCCAACAAATGCATTGATAAAATTTTGTAAATTTAATTAAAAATACATATAATATTGCCTTTTTCTACTTTATTACAAAATGAATAAAACTGAAAATTTTAACTTTTAAAAGTAAAAGATATGCGTTTCTTTTTTTCTTTTACTTTGAATATTACTATTTGAATGAAAAAAGGAAAAAAAAGCAAGGAAATGGAATAAATAACAAAAAACAAACATTCGCTGTGAAATAAAAACAAAAAATTTTTGTAAAAAATTTCATTTCATATTTCTAAAACTTTCGAAATTCTACTTTAGCCTATTGAAATCTTTAACTGAATTTCATTTAAAAATGAAATTTGATAAGCCCTGAAATTTCAAATTTTTCATTTTTTTTCAAATTCTAGTCTAAATATAATAAAAAGAATGTTTTGGATATAAATTAATTTCTTGTT